CTATAGATGATAACCATAAAGCTATAGATGATAACCATAAATGGACATTTGACAAACATTCATTTCTTTACATCCTACTTATGTTCGTGATAACATCTCTCCACAGACTTATCAGAAACCCAAAAGCTGGCTAAATTCAAATATCTTGAGCAAAATTTGAATCATTTACACCTGAAATATTCAGCCTTGAAGAAATTACACTGAATATAGGATAACTAAGATTAATATTCAAGCTGATATAAGTATCCTTATTTTTAGGTTACGGTGGTCTTGGTCTTGATTTTAGTTATTCGATAGCGATAGCCGAAGAACTTGGCCGAATCAATTGTGCAGCTATTCCGATGGCTATAGCTGTTCAGGTTTCAATTTTTGTTTTCCTGGATTTTTTTTTAGGAATTGCTAAAATTGTTACAGATAATGTACTCTCATTCATAATATCAATGTTTTTTTTTTCCTCCATTTTTTTCTTAAATAATCATTAGAATTATCAATTAATGATAATAAATGTGAAGCTTTCAAATGAAATCGTTCATTAATAACAGATAATTAGGTAATTAAATTGTTGAAAATTAACCATTTTTTTTCTTTCTTCCTTTTTTTTGGTTTGAATAAATATGTAGTCAGATATGGCTACACCAGCATTATCAATATATGGAAGTGATTATTTGAAACGTGAATTTCTTCATGCTACATTACAAGGTGATCTTGTGGCATGTTTGGGTGTATCAGAAGCTTGTGCTGGAAGTGATGTTGCTGGTAAATTTAATTTCAAATTATTTATTAATTAATTATTAAAAAATGAAATTTATTAACAATTTTCTTTTAGCAATCCAAACTAACGCCCGTTGGCATGGAAATGATTTGATTATTGATGGTAGTAAGCAATGGATTACGAATGGTACACAAGCAGATTGGATTTGTTTGTTAGCTAATACAAATGCTAATCTATCACCACATCAAAATAAGAGCCTTATATGTGTACCACTTAATGAGCCAGGTTATTTATTTTTACCTTTGCTAAGTTTATTTAACCAAATTATATCCTAAGATAGTTTATGAACTTTTTGAAATTTGCCATTCATTTTAACATTGAAATTATTTTTATTTTGCATTAATTTGTTATGAAAAGATAAAAAGTAAGAATTTGTAATTGAGAAATTTTAAAATATGACAATTGCGAGATTTTAATTTATTCATTAACGATTTCAGGTGTACATCGTTCGAATCGTATTGAAAAGCTTGGCATGCATAGTTCCGATACTGCTGAGATTTATTTTGATAATGTTCGTGTACCAAGTCGAAATATAATTGGTGAAGAAGGGCATGGCTTTGTCTATCAGATGTTGCAATTTCAGGATGAACGACTTGTCGCTATTGCTGTGCGTAAGTTTCTGGATCATTATCTATAGCTAATAAAATAATTGATAATACTGATTAGCTGTATCATCATAACTCCCTATCATTACAGACCGCTAAATCTTTGGTCTTTTTAGGTTTCTACAATATGTCTTCTCAGATATGATAAGAAATCCTCTTCTTATCAGATATAATTGTAATCTTTTTAGATATGATAAGAAATCCTCATTGTATCAGGTTTAATTGTGATCTTCTTAGATATGATAAGAAATCTTCTTCTTATCAGGTATAATTATGATCTTAAATATGATATAAAATCCTCTTCTTATCAGGTTTACTTATGTGTCTTCTTAGATATCATAAGGAAATGATACTAGTATGTAAAGTTAAAGCTATACCACTCATCAAAAAACTTGATCAATAAGAGAAGAGCATAACCAATCTAGACAATCAGAAATCTTCTTCTTATCAGTTTAATTATCATTTCTTTATCATATTTTCTTAATGTCATATGTACGTATTTATGAAGGCTTACTTAACTTTTCAATACATTCAGTGCTTGAACCGATGCAAAAAATTATTGATATGACAATTGCATACACGCGACAGAGACGTGTCTTCAACAGAAGCATCCTGGACAATCAGGTATGCATTTGCAATTCTTCTTCTGTCTTTCCAAATTTATAGTACTTTTTCTCAAACAAAAAAAAAAAAAACACTTCGAAAGAACGCTTGGAAACGACAAACTGCGCAAATATTTATGGCGACGTAACAGAGTAGGTGTGAAATGATTTTGCATATTACTCATCAAATTTATCTTTAATTTTGTCCATAAATGATAATTTGTTTCATTTATTCTTTTTTAATTTTAATATATTTGGTTTTATAAAATTTTAAAGATGCATGGAACCAGATTATACATTTATCGATTAATTTTCAGCTATTCAAATGTTATTGAACTTTTCTCAGAAAAATCACTTGCATTTCACTTGCATTTTTAAATCACTTGCATTTCACTTGCATTTTTAAATCACTTGCATTTCACTTGCATTTTTAAATCACTTGCATTTCACTTGCA